GCGTGACATCGATCTCATTATTAAAATGAGGACGAACAGAGCCTTTCGGCTCTTCCTCCTCCCGCACACAAGCTGCAACTCCCATCTCCTATCACCCTTCATTCACACGCAACAGTCGTGTGCTTCCACCCCCCCTCTCTCCCATCGCAAAGACATGCGTGACGTCCATGCTTGCTAACCCAACCTCCGTCCCACTTCCAGCTGATTGGTCGATCCTGCACTGACTGCTACCTTTGACCCCATCTCCGTTTGCAAACAGGATCTCGAAGACTAGCAAACAGGATCTCGAACACCTAGTCTGATCCCGACCGGCCTGCCCCTTCTGCTCTGTGCGGCTCGATACCAACCTGCCCACTCACGATCTACCCACTCCCGATCCGACTCCATCCCACACCTAGACCTCACACACGACCCATGCTTGTGTAAGACCTACCTCCACCTCCTTCTACCGTATGTCCAACCCGTACAATTCACATAGAACAACCTGATTCTTACAGTTCGTCCAGTCAATCCAACCAGTTCGACCACCTACTTTTTCATTTATCAGAATTCTAAACCCATCTCCAACCTTCCAGCATCCCTTCAACCCATAAATCTAACCCAAACAACCAACTTCCAGTCCACCCTCACATTATAATCCAACCCAAACAATACCCCAGATCCTCTAACACCCAAATAGAAAACATCAAAACTCCAATACCCAACCTTACTAATCTATCTCCCTCTCTACCTCGCCGTCGCCTCGACACCATTGATGTCCCCTCGACACCATCATTGTTGCCTCTCTCGTGCAAGGTATATCCCCTAAACTCAAAAATCCATCAAATTACATTTTCAGCGCTCACGGTGCAATGAGCATACCCCCATGGACATTTTTCTTAGCATAATAGGAGGGAGCTTGATTTGATGCTTTTGACGAGGAAGGTAAGCCTCGTGGGCACTTTTTTTAGCATGGTGTGATGAAATTTAAGTACCCGTGTGCTCTCTCAGGTTGGAAGGCAAATTTGCAAATTTTTTGTGTAGGTACCCATGCACGTCTTTCTTCACGAGGTAAGGTAGAAGATCACAGCCATGGTGTCACCTGACACCGATCATGCACGCTTTTCTTGACATGGTGGAAGGCTTAGAGTCCCAATAATTTTCTTAAATTGGAGGGGGGGGGGGGGGGGGGGGTTGCCATAATTTAGACTAACATGGAACTAAATTTAAATAAAATTATAGGAGACTTGATTGCAACAAAATTATAGGGAACCTTGATGCTTAAACTAAAATTACAATTTGGATAATAACAAAAATTAAACTAAAGTGTACAAGCAAGGACTCGTGGTGGACAAACAAACATCAACACATCTTGCCTATGAGTAACAATTAATAAGAACATGTAATCTAATTACAAACAATGATGCAAAACCATTAACTCGCCTATGAATAATAGTAATGGATCTGCTATATTCACCTTAATCATGCCTACAAACGAGTAAGGATAATTAAAAGGATATGCAATGAATATAACAACATCTCTACAGTCGATGTCAACTAACTTGCAAACAAGTGCAGCAATCCCCTGTGAACAATGGTGAATAATGTGAACAATGGTAAATAATATGCAATGAATGTGTCAAGTTCCCTACAAATATATATAAGAGAGTTGCAATGAATACTTCACACAGTATACGAACAAAGACAACAAATTTGTTATAAATGCAGGCACTTATGGACAACAATATAGGACTCGTTATGTGCACAATAGTCTACTCAAGAATCTAGATAGTAAAACTTGTGTTGAATATGGCTTGCCCGCAAGTGGAGGGCACAAACCTGTGATGTACACAATGCTCCACCTATAAGCAACACTATAAGATTCATATTTAATGCAGCCCACCCATGAGTAATAACAAAAGGCTTGTAATGCACATAACAATATCGCCTATAGGCAACATTAAAAGATTTAAACTGAACACAATTCACTTGCATTAACTGGCGGCTTCTGAATGTCTGCTACTTGCCCGCAAATAATGTTAACAAAGTTTATACTACACGACAACTTGCCTACAAAGAGAAACGAATGATTCGAAGCACAAACTACAGTTCACTTGTGAGTAGAAGCAGGAAACTTGTTGTGTCAATTTATCATATCAAATGAATTAGCTTGCTTACAAACAAAAATGGGGGATTCATGATGCACCAAATAGCTTACTTGCAAGTAAAAGCACACTCCTACAAGCTGAGTTGGAGGAAATGATAATTTGCAAGAGATGAAATGAATTAAATAACACAACTCATACACTACAGTTCTCTCATGATAAAAAGCAGGGAATTTGTAGTGCACACAGTATATTTCCTATGAACAACAAGAAGCCTTAATGAACACTACAATTCCCATGTAAGCAGAAGTAGATAATTCATAATGTCAAGTTACATATCAAAAAAACCAGCTTGCCTATAAATGACAATGGGAGTAGGGGTGTTAATTTGAGTCAACGGGTCGGGTTTGGGTCCCGGGCGTAAATGGGTTGACCCAAATTTGACCTGTTTAGCTAAACGGGTCAAGATATACAACCCGGACCCAACCCACATGGGTTACTAGGTTGACCCGACCCGACCCGCAAACCCGAATTGGACTTAATGAGATTTAAAAAAATTTAGTTACACGACATCGATTAGATTTTTTTTTTTTGTCTTCTAAGTATGTATATTATAACCCCATTGATTGGATGTATTTTTTTTTTGTTAGTTTAATGATAAATATAGATGCATGACTAAATAGGTATTATTTTTTTCAAAGTAGTTTTATAATTAAAGGAAAGTATATTAAAATTTAATTACACAACATTGATTTTTTTATGTTTAAAAAACTCAACGGAGCTCAAATAATTTCTTAGCCATCATTTAGAACAATTTTACATCATTATTTTTTCTTTGATTTAAAAAGTTTTTTTACTTATGGGTTAGCCAGGTTGACCCATGAGTTTTCGGGTCAACTTGAATCCGACGAGTTTTACAAACAAATTGATCCGAACACGAATTTTTTTGGGTCAGGTCCAGGTCGGGTTTTGGGTCGTGTCAATTTTTGACATTCCTAAATGAGAGATTCGTGGCAGATAATGTGGCTCACTTACAAGCAAGGGCACATTATCCTATTGTCCATTGAACAAACATCCCCTACGAGCTAGCTTGAATTATATGATAACTTGGAGGAAGCAAAGTAGACTAGATAATATTTCTCCTATACACTACAACGGAAGTTAATATGTCTTCATGCTACTGGATCTACAACACTAATACAAGTAGATAGAAGGCGTTTCTTAAATTCGATCTAAAATTTTGCACAGTTTTTAAATGATAATCACCTGTGCAACTGATTGTATTTAAATATTTTAAAAGCCCCCTCATACAATATAATATAATTGACTAAATTTAAGCGCATTATCTCGAGAAAGTGCCACTACTTTGAGAAGCTTATAATAGCCTCAAGAAGCATATGACAGCCCCGAGAGATGCGTTGATGCCTTAGGAAGCATGTCATTATCTCGAGAAATGTATAATATTCCCAAAATATGCATTGCTATATATATATATATATATATATATATATATACATCAAAAAACCTGTGAACATATACTCTGCAACATTTAAAATGTGTTATATAAATGCACCATCCAACATGCAAAAATGCACTGTGTCGTAGCGCATTATACCAACATATAAACACATTATACGTTACACAAATATATTAAGCTACCACATCAATGCATTATGCAAATATATGAGCAACACAAAAATGCTTTGGGGATGAGTTTCTTAAGTGCATCATAATATGTGTTTCTAAAGTGCTTTGAGGGATGAGTTCCACATGTGCTTTTGTAGCACAAGTTTGAGACTTCATTTGAGACAACTTTCTTATTGCTTTCTAAAATTGATTTTAGTAAAAAAAAAAAATACTAAAAGGTTGATTTAAAAAGCAATACGAAAGCTATCCCAACTGAAACTCGAAACTTATGCTTTTGCTCATATCAATTGCCTTGAAAGCAAATTTGTGTGGTCTTGGAATAATTTAGATTATATATATATATATGATTGATGCATTGCAATGGAAACCTTGCAATCAACAAAGAATTTATTTTATATATGCTTCAATGGATTGTTTGAATGTCATGGTTATATAAACCATAAATAAGAATTTTCTTCATCCAAGTGTCTTTAGAAGTGGAGGTGTGCTGACACTTCTAAGATTCTCATATCTTATCATAACGTTAAGTCGTTTAAAATTTATAAAGAATTCATATGGTACTTATAAAAATATAATTATGTGTGCTATATATCTTAATTACATTAGAGATTGTAGAGTATGTGATACAACGCATCTCCCATCACAACAACAACAACAACGCTTTATCCCACTATGTGGGGTCAGCTACATGAATCCTTTTTTCTCAATTGTGTCATATTAAGAGACAAATTCTTATTCAATTGTGATATGCAAACATTTCCACAATTCCTAAAATCAAGCCATTTATATACTCACATACACCTTCACATGTGAGATCAGAGAGAAGATGGTAAACAAGACAGTAAAATTTGATATAACGCACACATGCAATACTAACATTTTATGCTGATCATCATAAATATCACACAGCCACAAACCGTAAGACATGAAGAGCTAAAGAAACAAGTTAATTGTTGCACAATAAATAAATTCGTTCATGGAATTAAAAATGGTACGAGTAGTTATTATGTAGTAGAGAAGGATCAAGTAACATGCAAGAGATCAGCCAAGCTCCTCAGAAACCATGAATCTTGATTTGCTCTTTCTTCAAAATGCCAGCCTTCCCACCAAAAAAGAACAGCAAAAGTAAATCAACAGAAAGCCTCAAAAAATGGGAAGTGAAACTGGTGGCCATGTCAAGAAGTAGAAGTACCTGGACAAGAAAGGTGGAGACATTCTTGCGTTGATCACCTTGGAGTTGAATGACCTGCACAGTACAGCAATAAAGATCAATCACCAGAGCTGTAAACAAAAAAGATCAATCAATCTTCATCGATATAATCATAATTATTAGGCTTCGTTTGGGACGACTTTCTCACTGCTTCTTGAAGCAGCTTTCTGATACAAAAATTTTATTTTTTTACTAGAAAGCTGCTTTAAGAAGCATCAAGAAATCCATCCCAAGCGAAGCCTTAGTCTTATCCCAACTATTCAAGGTTAACCTAGTGTGGAATGACCAAGAAGCGTATAACCTGCCCAAGCTCGGGATCCTCCACAACAGTACCATTACAGCAAAATTCTTTCTTCAGGTCCTTCAAGATCTTGGTTTTGCTGTACTCCTTCTTCAACCCTTGCACAGTTGTCAGGCTCTTCCTTCCATTGCGCTGTTGCACGCGGATGTGTACATACTCCTTTGACACAGCACCAGCATTATCAGCACTAGCCTCAGCAAACGGATCTGTCATAAAAATGCCATACATGCAAAGTTGTTCTGTCTAGAAGAAGGATTTTGAAAACATGCGAGGATGAACAGAATATACATTCTTCTTACTTTGGCCAATAACGAGTCATAACGTAAATAACAATCCCCTCTATAAAAGTTTGTGTGCCAAAAGTCATTTGTCAAACACAAAATTGTAAAAATTGCATACTTCCTTCAAAACAGAAATAGTACGGTTGAATGAGATGGGCTAATTAACTATTTGGAAGTCCACAAATCGGGAAAAAAGTCCTTAATATTTCAACGAAAGAGCAATTTTCCGAGTAATAAAGCAGTCAGTTGCACAAAATTAAGCCTAGAAATCCAAAGAAAATATAGTAGGAAATGGAAAAAACTGGACATTAACTTCACGTAAGAATCAAGCGCCAAATCCAGCAGTAGTTAAAAGAAAAAAGGCCCAAAAAATGTGGTTGCACAGGCCTGTTAAGAAGACCTGCAGTATTATGAAACTTTAGTAGGAATGAGAGGTGAACTGGTTAGTTTGAGCAGCAAGAAAGGACTAGTTTGAGCAGCAAGAAAAGACGGCAACAAAATGAATAAATTGATCAAACGATTGCACAACTCTTCTAAGTGAGCAACAGGTACAAAACCAAGACTTTCCAGTACTACAAAACGCACAATTCAAAGCTAAAGAAGATGCAAAAAACAAACTGACAACCAGTAAAAATATAAAAATCAACAGGATACAAGTTACAACAGTTTTTAATGCGTAGACAATAATTAATGCGTGAACCACTAGATTAGTATTGTGACAATGGTCTTTAAAGAGGGAGGTTTGAAAGAGATTTTTTTTTTTTTGGAGGGGGTGAGGGGTGTCCCTAAGGAACGAATAAGTAGTGGCTTCTGCCAAGTTTCCAAGGAAAAAAGAATGATCATTGAACCAAATCCCATATAAAAAGAAAAGGTTATTAGGCTATATAAACAAAAGATAAATCAAATATATGAAGACATTTTTTGTTATAATCAAAGAATGATCATTGAACCAAATCATCATAATCATTAGCATTATTATAACTATCTCAGGTCATCTTTATGAATCCTCATTCACCATTTATGATTATTGAGTGTTGCTATCTTCAATTTATCCATCTACTTCCTAATCTTTTAACACTAATTTTATATATCTTACTGTTACATCTTCGAACCTTGATTCTACATCACTGAGTATAACTTCCACTATCTCCAACTAAAGCAATTTATCATCTCTCATATAATCATTTCTCAATCTAAACTTTTTAAGTTTTCAAAACATTCACCTTAATATTCTCACTTCTACAAACCCTCAACATCACTATCAACGTACATATTACCAATAATCAAACAAGGAAACATAATTGATCTAATTGCAGTCATATAAAATTTAACTTTAAGTCTCAATTATATTTTTTTAATCCTCTAAGTAGCTTGCCCATTTTAACTTGAGATAAGACTTATAATGTGACAAGTATTGACCTAAAAAATTAATTAAAACAATGTCAATCTTATATAAAAGTTGATTTGTGACTTAAACTTTACAAGTCATCTTTTTATACAAACCCTTAGGAGGAGGGAGGAGGGAGCAGGGAGGAGGAGCATTAAGGCTAAGGATCGGATAAATAGTGGCTCTTGCCAAGCTTCTAAGAAAAAAGGAATAATCGTTGAACCAAGTTCCATATCGAAAGAAAAGAAAAAAGTTACTAGGCTACATAAATAAAGATTGCACCAAATATATGAAGACATTTTTTGGTGTAATGGGTGGACTGGCAATGGGAACTATATCATTAGGTACACTTGTGATGAGCATTCATGGAATGATTGATACCAAGAAGGGTACAACCCTAAGGTTCAAGCCTAGTATAGGACAGATTGTGGCCTAAGGTAGAGAATGCCTCGGATAATATAGGATCGAACATAAAAATAACAAATATACACATATGATTTAGATATCTATTTTTTATTTGCAATATTACCCTCCCCACACACCCCCTCACCCCCAACCCCCACAAAAAATAAATAAAAAATAAAAAATAAAAACTACTAAAAATAGGACATAAAAAATCATTAATGTTGAGATGGATGGCAATGCATCAAGGAGTTGGGTGGCCCTTTTCATGTTTTTTTTTTAGTGTGATTTGATGAAGGGCGTCATATTTACCTTAAAATATTAGGATAAATAAGTACTTAAACCTTAAAAAATAAATTAACTCAATAGGAAAAAAAAATTTAACTCAATAGGAAAAAAAAAGTGACAAAAAGAAAGTCCTATGGAGGACCATATTCGGACATTAAATGATCTAGTTTTGATTGAGAAAAGATATGATAACAAGCAGCATATTTAGTATTGTAACATGATTAGGTAATGGGAAGACTGATATTTATCATTGTATAGCTCAAAACTTTAGAAACATAATGCTACTCTGCCAATAGAGAAGTGGATGTTAATATTAAAGCATATAGATATTAAAAATTTCATAAAGGACCTCCAAGCAGCATAATTTAGTTTATCATTGCCATCATTAGCAATATTCCAACTATTATGTGATCAAATCATCTTGTTTTGATAAAAAAGGTTTGATAGCAAGTAGAATATACGGTATTCCAACATGGTTAGGTAAAGGGATGACATCGATGTTTACCACAGTATAGGACCAAAACATAGGACCATTATGATATGCTGTCAAGTAAGGATTAGATGTTAGTATTAAAGCACAAACATATTGAGAATTCTAGAAAAGAGACTCCAATATGCATAATTTATTTTCTTATTGTAATCATAGCAATATTCCAACTATCATGAGAAGGCTAAATGAAGCATCCTTATCATCATAATCATTAGTATTATAATAACTATTTCAGGTCAACTTTATGAATCCTCATTCACCATTTCTTATTATTGGGTTTTGCTACCTTCAATTTATTCATCTAATCCCTAATCTTTTAACACTAGTTTTATATATCTTATTGTTGCATCTTCAAGCCTTGATTCTACATATCAAGATCACTTAGTATAATTTCCACTATCTTCAACTAAAGCTATTTCTACTATCTCTCTCATATAATCATTTCTTAATCTAAACTTTCTGGGTTTTCAAAACATTCAACTTAATATTCTCACTTCTACAAACCTTCAACTTTACTATCAATGTATGTATTACTAATAATCAAATCATGCAAAATAATTGATCTAATTGCAGTTTCATAAATTTAGTTTAAGTCTCAATTATATTTTTTTATTACCTAAGTCACTTATTCATTTGAACTTGAGATCAGACATAACTATGTAACAATTACTGACCTAAGAAAATTAAGTAAACCAATGCCAATCTAATATAAAAAAATCTTTGATTTGCAACTTAACCTTTACAAGTCATATTTTTATACAATCCCTTAGTTTATGCATTCAAGAGTTTAGCTTTAATACCAAATGGAAGTCATATAGTAACAAAGTAAAGCATCGATAAAGCTTCGATGAAAATGGAAGTGGATTGATAAATATTTGATCCTATCAATAACCATAATTCATTAAAAATAAAGCATATGACTAAATCATAAAAATATCTCATAGTTTATAAATCATATCTAATTAGAGAAATGGATCAAAATAGTCCCTTGACTCTTTATGAATGACCAAAATAGTCTCTAACTATATTAAAGCACTATTTCGGTCTCTTAACTCCTTAAAAAGGAATTAAATAGTCCCACCATGAGACTTAAAATTCCTTTTTAAAGACATCATTTAATATAGTTGGAGATCATTTTGGTCCTTCATAAAAAGTCAAGAGACAATTTTGATCATATTCTCTATCTAATTAGACATTTGCAAGAGGATGTACCTTGGTGTATGCTTTTTGCTGATGATATTCTTCTTGTTGATAAGACTAGAGAAGGAGTTGAAAGTAAACTTGATTTATGGAGGTCAACATTAGAGACTAAAGGTTTTCAGTCATAAGATATATATATATATATATATGGAAGCTGACTAGAATATAAGAAAAGTATCATGAGATTGTTTATTTTGAGGTATAGGGCGTATATTGCATTTAGAATACAAGGATTTTGATTGGTAGGAAGCAAAACATATTCAAAGTATTTCTCTGAGTTTTAAATAAATCCAATACTCTTTTTTGACAAATTTGGAATTCATCTAATCAGGAAAAATTCCAAATTCGTTGTTCACTCACAACTTTGGACCACCTCACATACTTGTGACCTCGCAACCTCACCGCACCATGTGCAAGAGTCCAAGTGCTTGCAAGCTTGCTCATGCTTCCGCCCCAACGACCTAACACTCATGAACTCTTCAACTTAAACCTTCGCAATCCCCTTGATTCACACGCTCGTGTCCTCTCTGCCTCACAATCACAAACTCGTCACCAACCCCACTCTTGGCACCATAACAACCGACACTATTAACCATACTGGCACCATTCCTATTATCATGCTCTATATCTGATTAAGAAAAACCGTGAGAATAATTTAAGAAGCACGAGCTCTTTGTATATCACTACAGTGTTAAATCACTCCTTTCATTTAGATCGATCAAATGTTATAAATTCTTTCATACATCACTAGCTCATTGAATTTTACTCTAGTTAATGAAACTAAAAAAAACTAGTCAAAAAACTAAACCAAGAAAATAGTAAGAGCATAGAACACATAGCACTGGCATGTATGATACAACATTGCACTTGACATGTATAAGCCTATTTTTCACAAATCACTTTGAAGAACTTACATCCATTATTTTAAATCTCTCTCTTTTCATAATCTTCCAATGCTAATTTATCTACTAAGTTAATGGTGCATTTTCTACCCATCATTGTACATATCAAAACCACCGAAGTCTAATTTCAATTGCCTAGCTAAATCAATGTCACTCCAATGATTCCATTAAGCGTAGTATTATTAAATTTACCTTACCTCTCCATGATATCATTTTATCTCATAATAATCTTGAGTAAAATCTTCACTAACCATCCATAACACTAGAAGTTGTATCATTATTCATCTATATATTTTATCAAAGATGCTTAGATCTATCACCCCAGAATATTACTTTATTTTCTCATAACAATTGATGATAATTATTAATAAAATACCCACTAAAAATGCATACAATATATTCAATTTTTTTTTCTACTAATTTCAAGTTGTTATCTTCTAGATATTCTTAATTGTTTTAAATTTTCAATGATTTCAATAACTACTTCAATGATTAGAACTCCGTTTGCTAAAAAAACACTATTACAACTCACTTTTAATATCCTTAGTTTAATACTGGTGTCAAACGACGGGTGGCACCACTGATAGCTGGCGACGGCTGCGGGCGGTGGTGGCTGTCAGTTGGCGGTGGTGGCCAAAGGCGTGCAGTGGTGGCCGGAGGAGGGCAGTGGTGGTCGAAAGCTGGTGGGGGTGGCCGACAGTGGTGACCAATGGCGGTCGACGACTATCAAGCAAACTTTCTTGCGTTGTAAACTGTTCTCACTCAAAATTGGGTGAGTTTGGTTTATCTAAAAAATGAATTAGAATGATTTACACTACATTTACTTTACTCTGCATTCCTTTTCATCAAATCAAATACCAAAATTTTCAAAACCGCAACATTTGGAATACTTTACACCATTATGTAATCCAACCAAGCAGCCACTTAATAAAGATCCTTATTATTAAACTTGAAAATATTTGAATTACTCTATTAATATTAGCTAGTGCTCCATCATACATATTTTTAATAACTTTAATATACCTTTTATTCAATGCTCCACCTTATTACATTTTTAGTAACTTTAACATACCCTTAACACACCAAATCAATTATTGTCATACTCAATTATCTGCCTTTTAAAGAGATCAATAAAAATCTATGAAGAACTTTATGTATATTTCATACATTTCTATTAATTTTCTTAACATAAAAACCCACTTTCATAGTACATATTTCGAAACTCATGTAATTTTTATAAGCACACATTCCTCCACTTTTATCTCACATAGCTTTATTATATGACTCATAAATTTAATTTTTCTATAATTAAAACAATCTTAATCAACTTTTCTACTCTTAAAATGTAGCTTCGAAAATTTTTTAGCATTCTCTTAGTCCTCAAAATTCAATTAAATAGATTTGTTAATCAAACAACACTCTCAAAAACTCTTTAAATTTCAAGTATCAAAGACGAAAAGTTTATCAATTATATATCTCCTTTAAAGCTAGCTTCATTGTACTATAGTTTAGCAATCAATAATACACCTCATCATCCTGTTCTTTATACATTAAAAAAATTAATATTTTTATTTAATAATTTCCAAACTTCATCTTTTTTCAAAAATTTCATCTTTAGCTATATTATAATTCTCTTTGCTTCTAATGGATCTAGCTTGATCAAAACCTCTTGATCTCATATGTCTAGCATTTGTTATTCCATTTCTTCTTTGCTACTATTGGATTATCCTATTGCTGAGTTTATTATATAAATCATCAAAGGATATAGCTGCTTCACTTGCTACACTCATAACAAGACTTTTACTTATAATTATTATAAGCCTCAACAATGTTTAATTTGCCATCCTTTAAAAACATATTTAATTGTCTGAATAACCTTTGTGCCTCCTCGCACTACCACAAAGCATCCTTAATAAGGGAAAATCTATCTGTATCTGTAGAATATTCTAAAATTTTTAAGACAACCTTCTTAATGAAACAATCCATCTTATCTCACATTAGATTTGGCATAGCTAAGGAATTTTAATTTACCTCTCTTAGCTTGTTTTGTGGTATATGAAATAAAGTAACCATAAACCCTCACATAGACATATTAGCTGCTCCACAAGCTAAATTCATGCGCTCATGAAGTCATAGATAAGGTGCATACGCAACATGGTAATTTAAAAAGAACACTTATCATAAAAGCCTTTTTTTGTGAAAAGTAAGCTAAAAAAGTCAACCAAATAAAGCGTCAGAGAGCAAATATGAGTTTTTAAAGAAGAACATGGCAAAATAATATGGAGCTAAGAGCATGTAATGCTTCAATTTTGGACCATACCAAAGGTAGATGGAATCTGAGTGTCAAGATCAGACATGAACTTTGCTTTTTCAAGTACAACAGACCAAAGCTTCCTTCACACGAGCTAAAACTGGAATATATTTAATTCTCAATCAGACATGAATTACAAATTAATAAAACACAAAAAAAAAAAATCATCTTTCAGGCCTCCAACAAAATATTCACAATGAAATTTTTTTTAATAAAGCGTTTATTATTATCTTATCATCTTCTTTTGGGTCAGGAGGCTTGTCTCTAACGCATGCAACGCGTTCAAGCAGTATAAGCTCACAAGAAAATAACACTTTGACAAATATTTTCAAGTCATTTAATTATATTTATTCCCCAACAAAAAAGAACAAACTTTGCTTGAAACCTCATTTGTAACGTCCCATCAAACAAAAGTAAACCTCTAACAACTTGTTAAGGTCCAAATATTTTAGTATCCCCACCAAGTAACAAACTGTCCGGGTAACATGCACCAGATGCGATTACTATCTGTTGCACCTTGACATCCTAAGAATAGATAGCGCTTCCATGATTCCAACAAGAGAAAGTCCATACCTTTGTTAAAGTGTACTAATCCTTCACCTAAATCCAACTAAAAACATTATATACCCTGATGAACATTTTCAATCTTCTCAAATTTTCACAATCAGAAGAAATTCTTATGTACGGAAATTACACATACAACTACGTGCAAAAGACGCATTGTGTACTAGTTGTGTACTCTAATTTTTTTTATACACTTGCAAAAAAGAAAGTTGTGTACTTAAGTAGATAAGTTACACTGCCAACCCTAATAATTCCTCCACAATCATAGCATTCAAACAGACAAGCATGATACAAGTATATATAACAAAAAAAAACAGGAATACAAAACATCAAGGAATAAAAAATCAAACCAAACCACCCATTTCGATCGTGAACTGATCTCCTGCTAGGTTTGGCCAACAATGAAAATTGATTTTGACTAGAAACAATACAAACAATGAGAACCGCCGATTTAACCAGTTAATTGGTGAACCAATTTAAATTTGATTGAACCACCGGGTTCAAATTTTAATTTTCTCGTCACTGTTGCTTTTTAATCTAATGGCTTGTAATAATTTTTAGGTAAATTTATAAATTAAAATAACTCCTAATTCATTTGAAAAATTTGATGCTCGCATAACCACGACCTTAACGGTCGCAACTCACACAAACTAGTGTCATGCATGGCAAAGTTGCATATATTGCACAAGCTCCTCCATCGCCATCGTCTGCACTTCAACCCTTCCTTTCCCTCTCCAATTCTATCTCCCTAGAGGATGATGGTTTAGCATCTCCAATGATTTAGTATGTCCACAACTAGGTCTACCGCCTTACATTATGCTGTATAATTATTTTATTACTTTATTCTCCTTCTCAAGAGAATGTGCTATCAAAGTACAAGTTTCCATCTCAAAAGAATGAATTATCAACTTACAGATGGCTGACGAGAAGTTGGAAATTTCTGTAGAACATTGATATAATGATTACTTCATAGAAATCTCTATGAACTGATTACTGCATTTAAAACTCTATATTAGGATGAAAGAGGAACGTGTTTTTATTTTTATTTTTTATTATATTAATTGGCATTTGAATCATATTCATGAAGTTAAAATGATGTTTTGTGATTTAAAATGTTGTATTTGTTATTGTTGGATAGTTTAGATTGATGTGATTAATCATATTAGAATTTAATATTTATTTTTAAATAGATTATAATTTTTTTACTTACTGGTCAAGATTAATAAGTTTTTCTTTCCAAGGAATCTAATTTCAGATATATCATCTATAAATTATAACTCATATTATGTACACCTTTATTCTTAAGGCTCATAATAGTTTATGTAAATAAGAAATGATTTTTTTTTTCTCCTCAAAATTTTACTTTTATGAATATTCTCTTTTACAATCCTCACATGTCTATTATTAGAATGGAACCCTCTGGAGATAATTTCATACCAAAGTGTTTGTGAAAAATAAATCCAACATAGAGTAATTTTAGTGAATCTAGAAGTTCAAAGGGGAAGAAACTAAGCCTAGATCACAATCAAGGACATACATTGTGCTGATATGGAACTTGTAAGATGGTTCTTTGATAGTTGCATATCTATCAATGCTTTGAATTCACCATTTACACAATAAAACTAATGATGCAATATTTTTTATTGAGTCTGGATGTGAGCTTCCTTCTTATTATAGAATAAGAGTTAATTTATTAAGAGACTAAAAGGAAGATTATAGGCTTCTAGTTGAGTCTTATAGACATTGCTGGAAAGAATCAACTTTGCACCTTGATGATTGATAGTTGGAGAGATAATAGAGAGATGATTAACTTCCTAGTTATTGACCCATGAATCTATCATTTAAAAATGTATTGATGCATCTAATGTCAAGGAGCACTTTATGTGCCTTATTTACTTAAGTAATTGAGTGGGTTGGTTCATAAAATGTGGTTCAATTAGTAACCAATCATGTTACAAATTATTAAAAAAACGAGAGTTAATACATGAAAAGAACGATAATCTTTATTGATAGTATTGTGCCACATATTGCATGAAATTGTTTTTGAAAGATACTAGTAGTATGCCTCATGTGGTAGAGCATACTAAAAGTGCTTCAAAGAACATAATATTTATTTATAATCATGTCTTCATATTATTTTAGTTGAGAAAAATAATGAGTTCAAAAGAGATTTTTCATCCAAAAGCAACTCGTTCTGCTAAAACTTTCATTACTATAAACAGTGTCTATGATCATAAATATGATTTGCAAGCATTTATAACTAACATGTACTATACATAATCAAAGTTGGTAAAAACAAGTAAAGGGATGCAACTACTATTATTTTGGATAAAAAGTTTTGAAATGATTGATTTATTGTGTCAAAAATTTCAAGACACTTATAAGGTCACTAAAAAATTGTTGATTTTGATGAAACGCCTTCAATTGATTATGTTTATGATGGCATTTATAGAGAAAAAAAGACAATCAAAAGTATGATTATAAATACTAAAAGTTTATACAAGCATTATAAGAAGAGATGGGATGGTTGGTTGCATATTTTTTGAATCCTTATTTTCAATATGATCAAGAGAACTCCTATTATAAATCTGAAGCCATAAAAGATGCGGTTGAACTTATTAGAAATAAGGATATATACCACAAACCTAAATTTGTTATGAAGTTAGAATTTATCAAGATAATTTTAAAAGTTTTCGAAAGTCTCTTGCTCTTGCTATGTCTAAAGAAATGCAAGCTAGTAAGTTCTATAGTTACTTAAATATTGAATGCTTTAAATATGAAAAATATTCCTTGTGCATTTCTATAATCATAATTTTTTTGTCACATATTTGCATCATTATTATCATATTTAAATAATCTATACATAGAACCTTGAATATTTCCTTTTTCTGGTTTAATAACTGGTCCAATTTTAAGAAGCTTTCAAAATATGGCTCAGTTCCGCAAATAGGCCTGGGCACTGAACACCAGGACTGTGAATAAGGACGCAAGTACAATAAACAATATGAAACAAAAATTGAAAATCAGAAAAAAAACAAACATAAGAAAAACTAGCCTCATACGTGACCTCAATCTTCAACAAACTGGAACCTAAATACCCGATCCGCGAAACTATAAAAAGAATGAATCGTGCATAAAGAATTGCGCCGATCTGCAGTTAACTCAAACACAGTAAAAGACTAAAATACAGAGATGAACCAGCGAACAATCAAAAATCAAGATCGAACTCGTCCCACGATTACTAAACAAGAAGCAAAGGAACCGATCAGCCATTGGATTTTACCTTTACCAAGAAGAGATCGGAAAGAAACGATAGTAAACGGAGCCTCCGCACAGAATAATCTCTCGAGTGAGAGACTTAGATCGTGCGGTCAATTTCCTTCTCAATCTCGCAAATCTTGCCTCGCTCTTCTACGACTGCGGAAGAGGGACGGGACGTCGCTGTACAGCTGGGATACAAAAAGAGCCCTTCGTGGCTTCACCGTTTGTTAGGTACTGCACTTCCACTCGATCACGACCGTCCAAATTTTGTTAGACAAGATTCAGTGGCATCCATTCATCACAATAATATCGGGTGTGGTTGGGTGAATTATTGCATCCCGGATGTCTTGACATCCAATCCGGTGACGTCACATCACTCAAATACACTAGGTCCCGATGTATTTTGGTGACGTGACGACACCAAATTGGTGTCCGGACGAATCCAGACACCGGACGTAATAATTTGCCGTGCGGTTGGGACAAATTTTTGTCCCAATTATGCTTGAAAGTGAATGAATAAAATAGATGCGGAACGGTTCATCTTGATATGTTAAACAACCAATTAAAAGGTTTTAGTTTCAAATTTTATATATGTGATGTGTATGTGAATCTATTTTAATTGATTTAAATGTATCCAAAAATAGATGAAGAGAAAAAAAAAATTTTAAACTAGTTAGACTTGCCCTAATATCTTTTTAAAATTGGGACTTTTTTAAAAAGGGCATACGTTAATATTAAATTAGGAAAAGGAGCATGATTAAGATAAAATTTAAAAAAGGAGTTGATTTGCTAAAGTGTTTGATGGAATCCTATTTTCTAAGAAAATGTCAAAACGTTTAGTAATTTCTTCACAAACATGAACCAATTACAAAGAATTTTGACCTTTTCATGTGAGAAACTCAAATCCTTTGGTGTCTAACTCACTCGACTCGCATTTCAAAGATTGATAAGAGAGAATTGAGAAAATAATTAATTTGTAAATTAATTAAAATTTAATTAATTTTATTTTATCATAATAATTAATTTAATTAATTGCATTCAATAATTATATAATAGTTAATCAATAATTATTTAATAATAAATTTAATTATATAATAATTTGTTATAATTATAATAATAATTAATTATAATTGTATAATTATATAATTATAGAATACTATTAATTTAGT